TGTGTGTGTGTGTGTGTGTGCGTGTGTGTGTGTGTGTGTGTGTAAAATAGTACATCAGTCTGGCGAGTAAACAAAATAATGTACTAGCCAATGGCGATTATATTGCCAAGGTGTGCGTAGAGGGTTGATCTTTGTGAAAGGAGGGGCAGACAGAGAGCGTGACACTCTCACTGTTGTGCCAGAGGTCATACAGTTTCAACAATCACAAGCTCTGTATCTTCATCAAAGGGGATATACGTAAGAAAACTACGTTCTGCTATAATCCATGGCAGAACATGTTCGAAACCATCTTTATATAAAAGACCTTTGTATTTTTTTTAAATGGTTGTATTATTTGCAGTTTTCATTTGTACAGTTCAGGTTAAAACGAAAAATGTTTTGAGCTTCTCCCACAAGTGGGTTTAGGAAAAAGAGCAGCTTTAACAATGTATGATATATTGCATCAAAAATATATGTAGTTTACTGCATTGCAACAAATAGATGTCAAGGAATATTGCAACATGCAGTGTAAAAAAGTGCCAAGGTGGACAAAAATATAATACACTGCTAACCAGATTTACCAAGTAAAGAAACGTGGATGCTCTGTACACGGTTCACATTTTACAACATCATAGTGCAACATTGCAGGTAATTAGTGATTTATTTATCCATTCCAGTTAAACAGTTAAGATATGGAATGACTTTGCTTGCTACTGTTCAAAAGGATGATATAAAAGGGGTTATAGATAAAGATTTTGCGTAGTCAACATGCCTAAACCTACTGACTTACAAAAGGCTTGTCATTCTTTGAATGAAAAAAGGAAACGTTCATTCAACTCCTGCAAGGCAGTACTTTTGTGATGTATTTGTTATTCTTTCTTTTCCACTTTAATGTGTGGTCATTTTTAAACGTGTAGAGCGAAACAACACTAAACAAATAAATAAGTCCAGTTTCAGATGTTTAGTTAGGAAATGTTTACATAACCCTCTCAAACCCTTCCTTTTCCTGCACTCAACAGGATGCAGCTGAAAGCAGTTTTGCGTCATCGACACACACGACATGCACAGGAGTCTTTAGACAGTAATGTAAAAAAAGATTTCTTTATTATAAAATAGTACATTCTGGTCACCAAGTCATGCTATTCATTTATCAAGTAATGTTTTTTGTCTGTATTGGGGACATTTATAGTTAAGGAAGTTGAAATGAAAAAGGAAATTGCGACTTTTTATCTTACAATTTGAGAAAAAAGTCTAAAATTTTAGTAGTATCTAACAATTCAGAATTCTGAGAAAAAAGTTAGAATTGTGAATATAATAAAATATATAAAAAGAATACATAAAGTCTTATGAAATAAAAAGTCACAGTTACCTTATTTTTTTTCTCTGTGGTGGAAACAAAAACCGAATTGTGAAAAAAAAGTCTGAATTATGAGATAAAATGTCCCGATATCTTTTTATTGTTTATGTGTTCCCATATAACAGTAGTTGAATAAATACATTATATAAAATGTAAATAGTCATTGAAACCTAATGAATGTACTTGAATTAGCTGTTTTGACATAATCCATTCATAAAAGATTACTGAAACTAACTCTACTTTTGTGAAGGCATACAGTCTTATTAGAGCAATGTTTCTCCTCTACCTCCTGGCGCTTATAGTGGTTTGTTTTCACTTCTCTTATTTTCACAGATGCTTTCTGGCCTGAGCATCCTTAACCCCCCAAGAGAGCTTTGATAAAAGTCACATTAACCCGCTGGAGTAGGCTAGTAGGCAAATCAGGTTTGGCATAACTGTCTCTTCCTTCAGTTTAAATGGCAGTTAACTTTGTCTTTTATCAGTAAGTTCACAACAGTTCACGAGTAAGTACGGTTAAAGTGGATTCATAAAGCTTTATGACTTTCACAGGCCCATAGTTACTTTATGATGTGTAATGTGGCTTTACTGTCAAAACATATAGAGCATACAATAAATTCATCTTTCTGAGGAGTGCACTCATTGACCGGTTAACTACATGAAGGAAGATTTTTTTAGCATGATAATATTAAGCACTCAAAAGCTTAAAGGTGTCCATTTGAGAGGATGGGGGGAGGGTCACACTTAAAAATAAAGCTTCTTTATTGGCACCTATGGTTTCATGAAGAATCTTTAACATTCATGGAATCTTTCCATTAACAAAGAGATAAAAAAAAAGTATTCACACTAAGAAAAACATGGTTCTTTTAAGAACTGTTCACTGAAAGGTTCTTTAAGTAACCCAAAATAGTTCTTTGCTGCAAAAACCCCGTTTGGAACATTTATTTTTAAAAGTGCAAGTGAGAAAAATATTGAAAGAGTGTCCCTGCAAATACTATGTCAAGTGTCTTGGTAACAACTCTCGCATCAACTCACCATCTTAATCAGCAACATGGCAGCCTGCCGTGAGAAGGTCAATGATCTCGAGGTATGCTGATATCTGTTACATAAAGCACAGCAATACAATAATTGTCTCTGAGGTATTTTCCAGTCCTTTTAAGGGTTAAAATATGTACTAATGTTGGTAATTCAGTTTCCTAGGTTACACAGTTGTTTTCTTCTAGTCATAACTACTCCAGTGATACATGAATTAAAATCAGCAACTTTGGAAACTACACCCATTTCCTAAGAGTTATGCTGACAGTAAGCCTTGTATATTTTAAGAAATATCCAAAAAGTTACTTTTTTTTATTTTTGTAACATAATATCAGCAAGAAAAAAATGTAAATGCAGATTAAATATGGCCAAACTAGCAGTTGGGTTTAGGATTTAGGGGTAGCCCAGGTAAAATATTTTCAAATTTATCTAAAAAATAATTGTAATTAATTATGATAGTGAAAAACAGCTCCAGAATCTTACACAGAGCTTTATTTTCTGTGGTAGTGAGATACCCACTCCCATCTTCGTCAAATTTAGGTGCAGGATGTGAGCAACATTTCCAGCGTGCTTCAGCGCTAAGGGCTCCCTTTAAATAAACTCCGCCCCGAAATCAGTCGATCAAATTCGGCATCGCACTTCTGAGTCCTCGGCCAATCACCTTCCTCCGGGGGCGGTCCTAGACCGGTGGTCCGGGAAGACGTCATCCAATAGAATCGCGAGCTCCTCGGACAAAAGAGATGCGACGATCATCGCTTACCTTGCGAGCCGCCCATTATTCATGTTCATTCACTAGAGATTTAAGGAGACACGACCGTAGATAGCGGAACTCAAATGAAGACCTAACGGTCTCACGGCTGATGTCTTTAAAAAAAAAAGAAAAAGAAAATAAAACGTCCCGCTGAGCTGTAACGGCTGTTCCAGTGGATTCGTTGTTTGTATGACAAGTTTGTATATTTTAACCGCACATATATCCAAATGAAGCACTTAATGTACTATATTAATACATTAAATGCACTGCTAGTGTATTTGGGATCAGGCTAGATACGAAGTTGTACACTTTTACAATGAACCCAGAATTTTATCTGCCGTTCTGTTGGTTTGCTGTTAGTAAAAACACTTATTTGTCTTTTTATTAACGTATAAATTGCGTCAGGGCAGTAGAAGTGTGTTGCAGATTTACTTTGTCGTTCTGACAGGCACACATAAATCCGTTTTGAAAACCCCTTTAAATTGTGACCTCAGCTCCGAGGGAGGTTTAACACGCCCCACTCTCCAAAAAGTGTTTCTCATGCATGACTGGCTCATTTGAATCTAGTGAGGAGCTGATAGTCTCTTATCTCAGCATCCGAGAAACGCTCCCGCTAACCGCACATCACTGGGATCGTGAACGCTGACTCCCCAATGATAGAAGAGGGAAACCCTGTCTGCCTTTGAGGCTATCAGAAAACAAACGGAGACATACCCGGAGGTTCTCCAGTAGAAGTTCGGAACGAGAGAAAAAGAGATAGAAAGGAAGAATAGTGTTATTATTGTAATTTTTTCCCCTACAGATTAGCCAATTTGAAACATCAAACATGACTAGAAGATCTTGTGCCATTTACGCCACCGGGATCGTGTGCGCTCATTTGCTCATTTTGGGAATCGCCCTTCTGGTGGCTCAAGTCTTCCAAACAATGATTCAGGAACGGATAAAAAAGGTAAGTCTTTTATAAAGTGCTTAATTCTACGAAAAGCTCGTGTTCTGCCATAAAGCCGGTTTTTACAATGATTCAGGGCCAATGTTGTCGTACACGAGGCTTCGGAGCATCTCGCGGAGTTGCTAATATCACTTGATGTAAGCACTGCGAAATCATACAACAAACAAGTCTAAATGCTGTCTTTTAATCTCTTCAATGGTTCTTGTACGCGGGAGACAAGTTCCTGTTCTTGCTCGCGGTGAGACCCAGACTACACAATTTCACGTTACGTAGACTAAAAACCTGTCTTGTGGCCGTTTAATGCCCCCTCTTTAGCGTGTAGGTGTCCAAAACATGATATTAAATTACCGTGATGTAAATGTGGGTTTGTTAGTAACCCTGATTAAAGTGGGCTGGTCGCTGTCTGTGACCACGAAGCCTATCATATTGCGGAAAACACTTTTTTTCCCCCGTCCCTCTCTCTAATCCACCTCAGCTGTAGTGCTGTCCGTCTGCCTGCCTGCGAATGAAATGCTTTCCGGTGCAAAATACCGGAGAGTGAATTCCTCCTCTTTAATGTAACGGGAAAGGCTGTTCATTCACCGAGCATGTATATGGCAGGGGGAGGTGTGCTATATGTGTGGCCTGTGGGGGAGGGTCTCAGCCGGTTCTCCTTGGAAAAATACTTGGAATTCTGACCTCCACCCTCAGTATTTTTAACCAAGTGTAGTATTCAGTGTTCAATGTGATTCTCTTAACCTGGAATTAATGGGTGGGTGTTTGTAGTGGTCTGTGGGAGAAGTCAGCCTTGCTGGATGTTGTACCATTTATTGACAGTTGCTTCAAAGCCTTGTAACTGAGCTTATAAACTGTGCACTTTTCATATTCAATAAGTCAACTGTGGCACTCAAACATGTCACATTGAGCCTTCAGGCTTTAGTTCTCTAGACAAAACAACTTTTTCAAGCCCTCAGGTGATGTGTGTCTTTTGAGTCGGGTGTAGAATGGGTGGCGTGTTTAAGGAGTTTGTATATGTGAGGCAGTATGTAGCTCTGAGGCAGTTTTTCTTCAGTGTTTTATCTCTCTTGACAGTTAAAACTTCCTTTGCTTGCTGTTTTCACAGCAGCTTTTAGCTCAAGTTAAAATACAGGCTTTGACATAGGCTTATGTATGTATTCATTGCTTGCTGTGAATTAATGTTTACGGACTTTGGTACAACATGGTCAGTTATGTATAAAAATATAATTTCCAGTTGCTGGTACCCTTACAAGCAGAAGACCGGCTCTGGTATCCACTCTACTGGCATTAAGTAAATATAAAGGACAAATGATCTCACTATCTAAACACACACATTTGTTGTTTTTCTTACCTTGGCTGTAGTTGCTCGATCAAGGCTTTGAACATTTTCTAACATAGTTTGATGTCCATTAGGACCTTCAAAGATCTCTCTTCTCAAGGTTGTTGAGCATGCGGTTGTGTGTAGAGGTCAGTGCAGTAGTTTTTGTAATCGTGTTTTAGCCTTTTTGATTCATTTTGTATAATTAATTTTTAAATGATTAGTAATGTTCAAAACATATTCCATTGAATAGCTGTAAGAAAACTAATTAGCTGTAAAGAACGCAATCATGTACATTACCATTCAAATGTTTGGTGTTAGTAAGATTTATTTTACATTGTTACTAAAGATATATTTCAAATATATGCTGTACTTTCTATTACTTTCTATTCATCAAAGAAGCCTGACAAACAATTTCATGGTTTCCACAAAAAATATGAAAAAGCACAACCGTTTTCAACATTGATAACAATAATAATAAATCAGCACCAAATCAGCCTATTATAATGATTTCTGAAGGATCATGTGACACTGAATACTGCCGAAAATTCAGAAAACAGTTTATAAAAATATTTTTTAGAATATAATATTTCAAAATATAATTGTTTTTACAGCTTTTTAAATCAAATAAATTGAGCCTTGGAGAGTAAAGACTTACATTTAAAAAAATCTTACTGACCCCAACTTTTAGCGTATCTGTACTTGTTAAGGTGTGGTCTGGTGGTTTTAGCCAATTAAACTTTAATTGGTGTCTATAAGCTAAAATACAAGACCAAAATCATCCTTTTTTAACCAGGCGTAATTAACAACTGTTGTCAGTATGGATTAAAGAAAATATTCCTTGACAAACCTCCTGAGAAACCATGAAAGATTAGAAAAGAGTCAATGGGTGTGGCACAACATAATCTTACTTTTAAAGAAAAGCTTTAGTCTGATTTCACTACACATGGTTGAACAAGTTGAATAGCCACAGATTTTCTTTAGCGCTCTATACCAGTACTTTACTTTATGGTAAAGCTCAGGGTTACTCCTAATGACAGAGATCCCATTCAGAGCTTACATGTGAGAAGAAGAAAAAAACTCTTCAAACTGTTCAAAAGACAGGTGTACTCTTAAATGATATGACCTGTTTGAGCAAAGACACCTTTATGTTATTCTCAGGGTCATAATAGTGTAAATTAATGCACAGTTTGTCATGAGTCAATTGGTGATTTGCAGATTATGACACAGATTATATGTTCGAATGATTGATTTTGAAACAAACAAACTACTTTTTTTCAACCTAAGGTGGTGCTTTAACCAGTGATTCTAGCAAATCACTTTCCTGTAAGGACCTTTGAGACGCTGAGGGTCCAGTCTGCTCTGCTACACTGCTGAAGTCATGACTTTTGATTCCAGATAGCGTTATTTGCATTTCAAGGCAGCATTCTGGAGTAAAACCTTCTGGATGTTATAAGTTTGTCACGAGTCACCCTTTGGAGCCTCGCTTTGTCTGTTACTACAAAATTTTGTGCTGTCACATGTAGTCATGAATGACATTTTGTTGTGTCAAAATAAACCTTGTTCCTCTGTCTGAGTTCAAATCACGACACTCAAGAAGTGAGAAGTGGGACTGCTGAATCTACTTTCTGATGGAAAATTCAAATTGTGTCATGGATCGCTGATGTTGATGTTTTTCTTCCTCCTCTTTATCTCTGAATCAGTCAAAACGTCAGTCAGCATTCAGCTTTTGTGTTCTTTCTTCCCTAAATTTTATTGAAACTCAGCTTAAACATTGAGTTTAACCTCTTTGAACAGACACAGCGTTTTCTGGGCTTTTGGTGCTCTCTCTTGACCTCTGACTCTGTTTCATTCACAGGAGATCACACTGGCTGAGAACAGTAGAGTATTGGAGGGCTGGATCAATCCACCACCACCTGTTTACATGCAGTATTTCTTCTTCAGTGTTACCAACTCAGATGAGTTTTTAGCTGGGAAGGAGAAGCCCAAAGTCACTCAAATAGGGCCATATACCTACAGGTGATTTACACATCTTTATATGTGATGATTTACCCGTCTTGAAATATACTCGGTATTCAGATGTTCATTTTCATGATTCTGAGCCGTCTGAAGTGTTTTGTTTTCTAAACGATACTGTGTTGTCAGTAACAACAAGTTTGGCACCTAACTCTAGAAATGACTCATGCTTTTAGTAGATAGAAAATGGGAAACGTTTACCTACCCACTTTAAACTAAATGTCAAATATTTATCATGCACTTGTAAAATTGTTATTATTTGCAAATATTATGTGTTTGTTAAAGAAATTAATACATTTATTCATCAAGGATGCATTAAAAAGATCAAAAGTGACAGTAAAGACATGAATAATGATAGAAAAGAGTTTCGTTTCAAAAAAATGCTGTTCTTTTGAACTTTCTATTCATGGAAAAATCCTGAAGAAATTTTTCATTTAAATATTGATAATACTAAGGAGTGTTTCTTGAGCAGCAAATCGGCATATTAGAATGATTTCTGAAGGATCATGTGACACTGAAGACTGGAGTAATGACTGCTGAAAATGCAGCTTTGCCATCAAATAAATAAATTACATTTTATTTAATTAATATTAAATTACTAATCGTTTTTTTTTTTTTTAGAAATATTTAGAAAATGTACAAGAACAGCATTTATTTTAAACAAATGTCTTGTACAATATAAAGAATCCTTTCTGAATAAAAGTATTAATTTCTTTTTTCCTTTTAAAACAGCTATTTTAAATTCTAATAATATTTTACAATATTACTGTTTTTACCATATTAATCAAATAAATGCTGCCTTCGCAAGCATAAGAGACTTTTGAAATGTCATTATTCCAAACTTTGGAAATGTAGTGTATATTTTTGGATTAGAATTATGGAGAATTAAATACGTAATAAACCTTCCTTTTCCATTAGAACCTGTGACAAAAACAATGGTTACATCTATTCATTTTCTCACTTGTAGTCAGATGAACTGGTGGTCGTCTAACCAGAGCAACATGATCAATGGTACCGATGGCAGTGTCTTCCACACCTTCCTGTCCATTTTTTTTTTTTTAAATTGTAGTATTTTACAATATTGCTGTTTTACTGTGTTTTTGATCAAATATATGCAGGCTTGATTGTAAATCTAAATAAAATGCTTCTTTCTGTTATCAGGGAATATCGACCCAGGGAAAATGTCACCTTTCTTGAGAATGGGACGAAAATCTTTGCCACAAATCCCAAGAGCTTTGTGTTTCTTCGTAACATGTCATCGGGAGATCCTGAGGTTGACCGTGTGATAACGGTTAACATTCCATTCATTGTAAGAAGGGTTTTGTTTTGCATTGGCAACAAATAATTTAGCATTTAAATTTAGTCTGCCCATGGCATTTGTTAAACTGATTATCTTTGATCCAAATGCAAAGAATTTGCTCTGAATTCTTTCCCTCTTGTTTCAGGCCGTGATGAACGAGTTAAACTCCTACTCCTTCTTTCTGAGGTCTGCTGTGTCTATGTGGATGGGATCCATGGGCATCGAGGTGTTTATGAATCGCACAGTCCATGAGGTCCTGTGGGGTTTCAAAGATCCGCTGCTGTCCAAACTCCACGCCATGAGACCAGAAGTGGATGAGCATTTCGGCCTTATGTACAATGTAAGAATCTGCAGTTTCATCATATTCAGTGCTTTAATCAGTCTAAATGGAGATCAAATGTGGTCTAAATGGGTCATATATTTGTGCAACCAACAGCACACACACAACCTCTAAAGCACATATACGATCAGAACAGGATAAGCAAATGACGTTATCATCGTTGTAGACTGCAGATGTTGTCCAGTGTATCAGGCTTGACACAGTGGCCTGGTTTACTCTAATGGGTTTTAGACTTTCTTCAGGGATTATATATGTATTAGATTTAGGACAGATATTAAAGATCTGCAGCCTTGAACCAGCGAGTAAGCAGTTTACATTCATAAAACATTGTCTTTCACTCTGCATTCATATCATGGCCACCAAACAACCTATTTTTGTACTCTTTGATGACTTTCTAGTCATCTTTCCCCTTCTGTGACTTGTGTGATTATTTTCTGCTAACGGCTGTAGCATTATGTTAAATTCAATTTATGTGCCGACCACAGAAAAATGGAACCCATGAGGGTGAATTTGTCTTCCACACTGGAGAGAAGAACTACATGGACTACGGCAAGATTGACACGTGGAACGGCATCAGGTACCTCACTGCTTGCGTAATCCGCATTGGCTTACTGACATAGTGAGAATTCTTGCACGCTCACTTGGCATCTGGTCTCCTACCTTAGGAAATTGGGTTAAACACACAGCATGCCTGCATTAGATGCTAGTTAAAGTCAATATCAAAGTATAAAGTCCTAGAAAAGAGCTCCTGCGCTTCTCAGTTACCCCATATCCTAATTTCAGTTGACCCATATCCCAATAAATACAACTTCACCGATGGCAGTGTCTTCCACACCTTCCTGTCCAGGAAAGAGCTCCTCTACATCTTTGCTGCTGATCTGTGCCGGTAAGTAACATGTTTTAACACTTACAAGGTACTTGGTTACTTGTACATGGTTGCTTACATTTGTTATGACATGTAGATCCATTCATTTGGCTTACGTGGCTGACAAAGAGGTGAAGGGCATCCCTGCCTTCCGCTTCGCCCCTCCTTCAGATGTACTCGCTCCCCCAGATGAGAACCCCAGTAACGCTGGCTTCTGCGTGCCTGCTGGGGACTGTCTAGGAAAAGGAGTCCTCAAAGTCAGCGTCTGTCGACAAGGTAAGCCTGTTTTGAGTCACACCGCACCTTAGCTTCAAGGCCGTCGTGTTTGTTGGAGTAAGTTTTTACAGTGGAAAAAGGTGTGGGATGTTTTCAAAAGAAGCAATTTCCTTGAATTGCGTGGGGAAAATAGGGTAACTTTTTAAATATGGTAATTAACAAGGTAAAGCAGTCTAAGTGTGCTAAAGATTTTGGTGCCCTGAATAGCTGGTCCAGACTGACATTCAACCAAAGCAAACCAAGCATGTGTAAATAGTATTGAATTTCAGGGTTTACCGTTACTGATCGGTGGCCTCGTAACCTGAGTTCAAGTTAAATTGGTCTGCTTTTGTTTGCACACTCTTGGACTATGAAAGGGAAATCAGGGTTCAGCGCTTAATGAATAACTTTTAGTGCAGTTTTATGACTCAAGCACTTGATTCACTGTAGGTGTCCTCTGACAAGATTACGCCATCTCAGCCTCTATTGTTTCCGCCATAAACTAGTAGGCTAATATTATTATTGAACGAATGTAAACTCTCAATTTTATCATGTGAGGACTCATGATAGGAAACAGCTGTCGAAATTTGCACATGCTTTGATTAGTCATCATTCCTAGAAGGGTTCATGACTGTTCATTAATAGTTATATTTAGAGTGTTAAGGAATGGGATATGGGATATAAATCAGTGATACGGTGGTACATATTACTCTTAGCTAATGATAGTCTAAGCACCTAGTAGTAGTATTTTGTGTTTTTGGTGGGTGTTCATGTACTTGCCGTCTTGTCATTGAGTCAAGAGGAAGTTTTGTCAATGGCTCGTCTTGTCATTGAGTCATTTGCCAACAAAAGAGGAAGTTTCATTTTCTGTGAGTGTGCATAAAAAAACCAAAAAGTCCCAGAAAATGCTGCAGGGACGTTATTTTAGATAATGGAAAATGTCAAAAACTGCAGTTTTGCAGTCTGAACTGTCACCTGCTCCACTGGGACCAGTGGTGCGTTTTTTACTTGCTTTGCATTCGTTGATCACTTACATGTCTTTATGACGTCTATCATTTGCATTTGGAGAAATATATACTCTATCGTTCAAAAGTGTAAGATTTCTTTTTATAGAAATGTATACTTTTATTCGGCATGGACACAAATTGATCAAAAGTGAGAAGTGAAGACTTTTACAATATTACAAAAAATGTATATTTTAATTGAATATTGTTCTTTTATACTTTCCATTCATCAATGAATCTTGGAACAAAACTAATCACTATTTCCGCAAAAATATCAAGCACCACAGCTGTTTTCAACATTGATTATAATTAAAAAAATAATAATTTTTCCTGAGAACCAAAATGTCATATTAGAATGATTTCTGAAGGATCATGTGACATTTTAAGACTGGAGCTAGGAATAAATTACATTTTGAAATATATTTAAATAGAAAACTGTTGTTTAAAATTGTAATATTTCACAATGTTACTGTCTTTAGTGTTCCTTTTATTAAATAAATGAGACTTATTTCAAAAAAGTTTTCAAAATTGTACAGTTGTTTTGCTTTGCCATCATTTTTAAGTGTATGAATTTATAAGTGTCATGGAGTTATGTTATAGTTGTCAAATTTAAAATGTCACATTTAAATCTTTTTGGGGTGGCCAGGTAAAAAAAAATCTGAACTACTGGACTAGTCTGTTGGCCTGAGGCTTGACATGACTTTAATCATCTTTATGGTTTAATTGGTCTTTATGACCAGTCATTATAAAGCAATAGCTGATAAAGAAGTTGTTGTTATTGCATATTCACCGTAGAGCTTTCCTAGATGGGTGAATGTCAACCACTGATCTGAATAAAAGAACAGCAACTAATGCCTATTTCCTGTTCCTATTTCCCCTTCACTGTATAGGTGCACCCATTGTTGTGTCATTCCCTCATTTCTACCAAGCCGATAAGAGGTACATCAATGCCATCGACGGAATGAACCCAAATGAGGAAGAACACGAAACATACCTCGACATCAACCCGGTAAGCAGACGCTTTGTGATTTTACTGTTTTACAGCGACAGTACTGACTTGTTAGGGCTCTTGTGGTTTATAATCTGAAAGTAGTATACACCCGTTCTTACCATGTCAGGAAAAAATAAGGTGATTCACTCTGATAACCACAAGTGAATGTGAAACTGCACCTACGTAACTCTACCTAGAATCCCAGTGATTGTTTTTGTAGGATGTCGTGATGGAAAATTGACTCAGATTAAGTTGGTGTTTGATGAACTCGTCTCATTCCACACGTTGTTTCGGGTGGAACCGAGCAAAGACTGAGTGTATTGTGGTGAATACTGGTTGACTTCCAATAGTAAATTGTCCCATTTCTTTTTTCTCTGCAGACCACAGGGGTTCCCATTCGTGCCTGTAAGAGAGCTCAGCTCAATGTCATACTGAAGCGAGTCTCTGGCTTCCCGTGAGTAAAAACGTCTCACAAAACCACTAAAGAATGTTCTGGAGTGAAAAAAATGGAAGTCTCATTAGCCTTTTTTTCCTTTTCAGCAAAACAAAATTCCTGAATGAGACCATTTTCCCCATCATGTATGTCAATGAGGTGAGTTTTTATGTCATCCTTGCTTCCTTCGGAATATACATTTTTCTGTTCAGAAAGTTCATTTGTTTTGTTTTCTGCTGAATTTTTAGACGGCAACTATTGACGATGAGTCTGCAGCCCGAATGAGGACGCTTCTGCTGATTGTAACAGTTATGTCCAACTTCCCAGTCATCATTGTGGGACTGGGGGCCATTTTACTTGTGGTCCTGATCTTCCTCATCTGCAGGAACCGCCAGAGAAAGGTAAAAAATGTATGAGCTTTATATTGCCTAGTTAAGAGTAGAAATGTCATTTGAAGGTCAACGATACCTTTCCGTGGAAAAATATTAATGGAGTAACTGTTAATATTCTTTAGAAATGCCAGTATGGAAAAGCCCTTAAAATCCCCTCAAACTTTTCACACCCTAGACTTGAAAGTCAATTAAATACCACTCACCTTGACGGCACTAACCCTATTGTTATGACCTTTAATGAATGGTTAAGTGGGGAAAACACTTGTTTTGCACATTTATACACTAATGTTCAACAGTTCTTTTATAGAATTTATTTTTACTTGAAATCTGCCAATGATGCATAATGCTGTTATGTTTTCATTTTCAGTAACATTTCTCCTCCCCTTTTTTTGTTCCAATTCAGAATGAAGTAAAACGTATTGATTTTACTGAAGCTTTTCATTCTTTTGCTGTAAGTCTTCATTTTCCCTTATACACACATTTTGCTTTCATTTTGTTCAAATTTGCTTGTTGTATTTTTGTATTTGGTCATTTTAAGCATTATAATGTTTTCATATGAATATGAATAATATCTCCTGTTTCTGCAAACCCTGTTCATTGCTTTGCCTGCATGGTGATTGTAATGTACTTTTGCAGTGTTTAGATGTTTAGCTACTTAGTCCATGTGGTACATGATTTAATGTTGACATCTACATGGTTTTAACAATGCACATGCTAATGGTTCTGCATGTTCTGTACAGACGACGAAGGATGAAACGGCTTATACCCAAGTGAGCAACCAAGCGGAGGATTCGCCAGAGAACCGCACCAATCAGCCTTTGAGGAACGGATCTTACATCGCCATGTCGCCAGTAGAGGCGCAAAAGTGTTGATGAAGATGACTGGTGGAGTCTCGCCTAAAGACATCACGTCTATCTTGCTCACCCTTTTTATATGGTAGTTTTCACTGTGCGATTCGTCTTCGGGGACCAGGCCCCGCACGCTCACCACTGTTTGCCGAGGGTCACTTATTTGACTCGTGACTTTTTTGTTTCCTTGAGCATGCCTTTCAAACTGCCATATCTTCAATCAAAACGTGTAAACTCAAAGCACCCACTTCAGTTTCGAACAACCGTCTCTGGGTTTCCAGAGGCTTCTGTTGCCTAGTCCTGAGAGGCCTGAAACAAACTCTCTTGCCTTTTGAAAACACATATATGCATTGCATGCTCACAGAGTCCATAGTTCCTGAAGGGTCATAAACCCTTTCAGTATGAGAGAGCGTGAAGGGTTCGCAGCCTGTGCTCTTAAAGTGTTTCAGATCTCTTCCCACACTACTGTATACAGGTCTACACAGGCAGACCTTGAACTAACACAGCTCTTCATACGTCAAACCCTTTGATAATGGTATAAACTATTATAAGATAAACTATTGATTTACCTCCTCTAAGAGTATTAGAGAGCTAAAAGGTCTAATATGCTAACAAAAACTGGGTCTAATCCAGAACGTACGTGTGTGTGTGTGTGTGTGTGTGTGTGTGTGTTGTGTGTGTGTGTGTGTGTGTGTGTGTGTGTGTGTGTGTGTGTGTGTCTCTGATTGTACAGATTGTACATCACACATTCATGATGGGCGGCGCTACATCACATGCCGGCATCATTCTCTCCCAATCAACTCGCAGCGTTTCACACAGACGCGAGCTACTCAAAGTGAGAGAGAATGACACACACACACACACACACACACACACACACACACACACACACACACACACACA